CCCCAAAACCCCAAAACCCCAAAACCCCGAACTGAGAAAAATTATAATTAAAGAAATTATAAATATTGCTTTCAAATTTATGTTGTAATTTTTTAACACTTAAAATATAGGATAAACCTAATTTTAAAATATTAGAATATATTCATATATTGTCAGTCTCATAATCAGCGATTCTGTAGCCTTTGCCTGTAAAAGCAACTCTTGAGCTATCCATTGTGTAATCTGAGTTTGTTGAATCCATTTAAAATGGTAAATTTTAAGGTTAGTTATTGTAAGCATCATTTCCTCTAGTTTGAACATTTTAAGTATGATCTTAATCTTAAGGAATCGGGTTCGAATTCTTGATCATTTTTGGCAAAAAGCAACTTGCATAAAAGCCAATTCTTGAGGCTCTATTAATAAAAGAAGGAATTCTCTTGCCGAGTAAGGATAACGTGAAAGCTTCTGAGAAATGATTGCAATTCTTCTTGATTAAATCATATTAATTTGCTTTAAATTCAAACTTTACTTCTTCCATAATTTAATTAAGCTTCTATTGGTCCCTAACAGTTCCCATCAGAAATGACTCTTTGTAAGTTGCCCCATCAACTTAAAGAGGTGTTTAAGTAAAAACGCCAGTTCCTTAATGCGTAAAATTTCCACCGTAAGAGTACTCTATACCATTAATCTCTATACCTGTGTGATAAAATCCGATTCCAAAGGATTTAAGACAAGATGTGGTGAAATTCGGTTGACTCAAATCATAAACATTCAAGATTATTTCAGTTGTATAATTTGTATTGCTACCATATGAATAAATAGACATTTTTAAATTAATAAATTTCTATTTTTATTAGCGGGTAGGGTATTAAAATAATATATTTTAAAATTTGTGCAGAAATCATGACAGATACCGCCAAATAACAATTTGACCCAAGACTTTATGACGAGGAAGAAGATGATTATGAAGATGATAATGGTGTTTAGGCAAATATAGAGAGAAATAATAATGAGTATGGACTGGGTGACAACGACATGGATGACATTGAAAATGTCGAAGCAAAGATGGATGAGGAGGAGCAAAATAGACTTTTTAAAGAATTGCTGTTCTGTGTTTAAGGAGTTGGCTCAGTCAAGAACATCAATGGTTATGATGTGTATGTTAAAAATGAAAGCTATTGCGAGGACAGTCTTAAAGATTTATACTCAAACTTGAAGAGAGATGGTGATACTTATCCAATAGTTAGATTATTCTTGGGCGAGTGGGGTTTACTGAAAAAAGACCTTTTGCCGCTCCTTGTATTCCATAAACAAGATAAGAGACTCTCATTCTTAACAACAATGATAATGGTTCAACTAACTGCTCTTCCAGGAGAGACATGCCAGCAAAAGCAAAAATATATGTCATATTTAAGAGAATACAAATAAGCTTTTTTGTAGCCAAATGTAATCTCAGTTTTGATGGAACATTTAGCAGATTGCCTCTAAAAAGAAGAGAGAAATTAAAAGCACGAATAAATGATTGAATTAATCATAGTACTCTTCAAACAACTTCTAGTAATCCCAGATGATAAGAAAAAAGATTAATCAAATTTTGTTAACTTACAAAAGAGTTTGCTTATCGCTTTTGCAGAAGAATCTGTACTCGATTCATTTATTTTTATGACCCAAGATTTTTCTCATTCGTTCTTCCAAAAATTATCAATACACTTTATGGAGATATGGTACTAAATTTTCAAAAGCTTTACACCTTAGCAAATTTTTAACTTTGAAGAAGGTGAAAAATAGGCACTTTAAGATATTGACGCTCTTGAAAAAGCAAGAATGAATAGACAAAACTTTTTGAGAGGAATTAGACACAGTAAATTTGGAAGTTAACTTTAAGTTTTCAGAAATGATGGTAGCTCAGTAATAGTAGGTAATATTTACTAAAAGAATATTGAGGTAAATGAAGTGAAAAATGGATAAAAAAGAAGAGCTTAATCAAGAATGATAAAGGACTAAAAGCATATAATTGAAGCACCGCAGACTGGAAAGTTAGTTAATGAAGGTGCTCTTGAATAAAGTGACAGGAAGCTACTATAAATGCTTAGAAATCATCTTACTGATATGCTGTAAAATTCATACTGTCCTTTGATAGAGCAGATTTTCAATGAGCTTGCTAAAAGCGGTGAGGCTGTTGAAGAATTTGATAAGTTCCACTATTTTAAGCTTTAAACATTCATGATGTAAATCTGTAGATTGTAAGCCTATGAAAAACATAAGCTAGATAAATCTATTAAAATGAAAGAAATTTAACAATAACAAGCAGAAGAAGACAAAAAGAATTTATTTAACTTGTCAAAATCTAAGTAAAGAAAACTGCCAATTCCGAAAGTTCCATTTAATATTGACATATCATAAATTGGAGCCTCATTGTAACTTAACAACTTTGATTATCTTTATTCCACATTATATACTGAGATTTAGAAAAAGAAGAAACTTGAAATGAAATTTAAAGATTTTCATTCTGCTCTCTAACTGTTAACTCAATTTTTATACATAATTAGAGATATGGCTACTTCAGAAGATGAAAAAAATAAGAAAAATTCACAAATTTTACTATCAAATGTTTTCCATCATGAATTAGTCAAAATTGCACATACAGGTATTAGACTTTATGATGAAAAGTTGCATCATAAATAATTCCTACATGACTCAATTGAATTCACCCATTTAATGATGAGCATGTTAGATGAATACTCAAAGGGAAAAGTACTAACGATCCAAACTTAGAAGATTAAAAAGGTCAAGAAATCAAAGAAATCAAGAAAAGCAAAGATATTTGGGGAAGTTGATTAGGCTGATTTAGAAAGAATGAAAAGGTAAAATGAGGAAGATATGGATGATGATTATAACCCTAATAATAAGGAAGAAGACATTGAGAAAGATATTGACAATCTGGCTAATTAAGATGACATGTACGATAATGTCATGGATAACTTATCTGATGAAGAGGATAGTGATGAAGATGATGGACAAAGTAGATACGTTGAAAGAAAGCTCAACTTTGCAGCTGAAATATCTCTTTTGGTTGATTATGATACACTCAGCAAATATGTAATGGTGTTGAGAGATAAAGACTATTAAAAAAATCCATAACTTCTCTAGGCTATTACTTCATGGTTTAAGAGAATAGTTCACTAACTGAAGGCTACTTGGATATTTTTCTAGCTGGAATACCTAATTTGTTTTGAGCAAGTATTATCAGAAGGACAGATTAACAATAATTTAATGAAAGGTTTTGGAGTTGACCGACCAGTAACGACAAAAGATAAATAAATAGATTCTTACCTTAGTGAACTAAAACCTCTACTCATGCAAATTGTTAAATAATTCATGGAAACTCTTTAGATTAATAGCTTATTGGGAATCGAATGTTTATTTAGATTTTCCTCAAGAGAAGTTAAGGATGCAATTCTTGATAATTATGACAAGTATAATGGAGATTCAAATTAGGCTAAAAGATCTGAAGATTAAGAGATGGAAGATATTTATGGGTAGTAAAAGAATGAAACCAAGGAAAACAGAGATGAGGCAAAATAGAAGCAAAGATCTGCATATGATGAAAATGATAATATTTAATAGCAGGCAAAGAATGTTTGGACTGAGGAGTAAGATAATATTTTAATAGATAATTACGATCAATTCAAAGCTTTGGGCTCTAAAATGTGTGTCGAATTTCTAGCTTAACTCCTTGATAATAAAACTCCAAGAGAGTGCTATGAAAGAATAAAAGCACTTGGATTGAAAGATAAAGGAGCTTAAGAGGCTAAGTAATAATCAAGGCTGCTTAATTAATAATAAAATGAATCACTTAATACAGCAAAAATTGCAATCTCTGTTAAATAATTCCTAATGTAAAAGATTGGGACAAGAGTTTCAATGGACCAATTAGAACTTAAGAAATACTTGGAATTTATTATGGAGATAGAGAAGGGATATCTTGAATTTAAATAATAAGAGGAAGAAATGCTTCTTTTTGGCAAGGTAGATGAGGTGTATGACTTATAGAGAAATTTCCCAGATTTCACAGTAGTACCTGTAAACAAAGAATAATTTGACATGATTAATGAAAAGCCATTTACAGACCTTCTAGCAGCCCTCGATATAAGATAACCAAAATATGGATAATTGTAATAATTTTTATTTTTCCTAATATTATATTAGATATCTGAAGATTCAAACTAATTTGTAGAAAGAGATCTTTAGTCGAAACATAGAATAATTATTTTCAGCTTTAACATCAATGAGAAATGCACAAAATGTATTTGATAAGGAGAGTGTCAATTAATAGACTATAATTATAAAAGCAGAAAACGATGAAATGCAGAATTCTGAAGAAGAAATTAGAGATAAAAATAGGAAAGATAAAAAGAAAAAAAGTAAGCACGATAAAAAGAACAAGAAACATAAAAAGCATAGAAAATATGAAGACGATGATGATTAAGAATAACATGAAAATAAAAAAAGCAGGAAAATTAAGAAAATTTATGAAGAGGAAGGAGAGGATGTTAATCAAAATGAAGATGAAGAAGAGAATGAAATAGAGGAAGATAAAGAGTTAGAAGATTTGGATCAACTCTATGAAGGTAAGGACAACCTAGATAACGATAGAGAAGAAGATCAAGACTTCGAATGACAAAGTTATCTTCATGTAGAAAATTACAATAGAATTGAGTTTTAAGTTTTCTAAATTATCATATCCAAAAAATTTCTAAATTTAACAAATATTTCTATAAAATGGGGTTTTGGGGTTTTGGGGTTTTGGGG